TGAGGATGTTTTTTTTGTTTTTTTTTTTTAAACTAGGCTGTTTGCAGGCCATACTTCAGCATGCAGGGAGGGGGAAACATAGTTAGTCATCCAAATGAGAAAATGTTGTTTTCCTTCTGGTACGTTCACCAAAGAAAAACCCTTGTAATGCATTCAAAAGGGTGTGGCAAAGTGTACTGATGTAGAATGAGCATTACATTACCAAGCCTGAGCATTTAAGTCACTAAATGTATTAATAAAGCTTGTAAGCATGGGCAGCGAGATCGACTTTGTGTTGCCTGTAGCGCAGCACCTTGCTTAGGCTGGAGTTGCACGCCTCTAGCAGTGCAAGGAGAAGTAAATATTCTCTTTAATCAGTCCCTAGGGAAGGTGTAGCTGTAAAACCCAAGCAGATTGCTCAAGATGATAGAGAGGTTTCAAGAAGCTGGAAGGTTTCTTCCACCTAGTGAACACAGTGTAATGTATTCTCTCCTCTCATGAGGATAAGGCAAGTCTTTTAATCTGGGTACAGTTTTTCGTATAATAAATATGTAAATGGTAAAGCTAGAATTTAACTGAATATTTGATGGGATATCAGAAGTAAGTAGAGCAGAAATGAGCATCGCTAGATTGAGGGTTTATTAGAAACGTTAAGCTCTTTAGTGTATCCCTGCTTCTGTCCTTATTCCCGTTGTATACAAGTGTCAAATGCTCTGGGAATTTGGAGCTGTGACGGTGGGTATTTGCAGCTAAATAATGTGTTATACGTTTCTACCAACTAAATTAGAACAGTGGCCCAGAAAAGTAATCTGTCCTTTTTTGGTTCTCAGGAGCAAGAGCAAAAGGCTGAAGAAGAACGAATTCGAATGGAGAACATCCTAAGCGGCAACCCGCTGCTGAACCTTACGGGCCCAGCGCAGCCTCAAGCAAACTTCAAAGTGAAGAGGAGGTAGGGTGCAGCCTGTGCTGTGAGGTTCCCCCCTGAGTTCCCTCACATTGCTGTGAGTCTGTAAATGTCAGCGTTTTGCTCGTTTCTCTGAACAAACCATCCTGCTACTTTGTGGTACAAAACCAAAAAACAGAAGAGAGTTGAGAATTGTCTGTGACATTATTCATATTGATACGAAAAGTAGCAGGACCAAAGTTCCTTGAGAAATCTGATGTAGTGCTTCTCTTTAAAATGTAGCTTTATATTTATAGGGTAGCTGCAATTAAGTCTTTTTTCTGAAGAGGATTCCTGTTTGCAGATATTCCAATTACTATTGAGTTTATCAGAATTCTGGGCCATTAAAGTTTGTTTTCTGCTCTGCTCAAATACCCCATATTTTCTGCAAAGAGAAATTAACCTTTAATCCACAGATATTTTTATTGCTTCTAACTCAAAAGCATAAAGAAGATGGCTTGGATTAGAAGAACAGATCTCTTATTTTCAACGACTGAATCCACTCCTAATGACTAGTTGCTCTTTTAAATAGGAGGGCCAGATAACATTTAAATATTTTTATAAATTGCACTGAATGTTCATATAACCCCACTAAAGGACAACATTTCTTTATTTTCAGATGGGATGACGATGTTGTCTTCAAGAACTGTGCCAAGGGGATAGATGAATCAAAAAAGGACAAAAGATTCGTCAACGATACCCTACGATCAGAATTTCACAAAAAGTTCATGGAAAAATACATCAAGTAGTACAGTTTTATGTGCTTTGGTGCTGAAGGACTTGGCAAGTCATGGCTGTTTCCCCCCTCCTTGTCTCTGAATCCAAGGCTGAACGTTTGGTCATGAGTTCCCAAATGCTTTTCCAAGATCATCAACAGCTTCATAATTAATAATTGCTGTGTATCTGGAGTTTTTATTCCTTCAGTATGCTTTCCTTTTCAGTTTTAATTAAACCAGTTTGTGTTTCATGGATGTTTTTCTGTTCCTATTTCCTTTTCCTGGCCGCCTTGTAAATGGTAGGAGAGAGAAGCTGGTTTGCAGTAAACACTCAGATTGTTTGGATTGCTTTCCAAAACAGGCTGTGTTTGTAAGGACGGGGGTTTGTAACTGGCACAAATTGTATGGCAGTGCTGTCAAGGACAGGGAGCAGCTGAATGTGATAGGCAGTGTGAACTGAGAAGGCCTAATCTTTCTGTAGCAAAGTGGACTGCTTCATCTTAATATGTAGTTACAAACTTCGCTATTCTTCAGTTTTGGTTTCTTCTGTTAGCAACCGAGTTACAGTTCTGTGGGCTGCCTCCAGGTTCTCACCAGCCCTGCGTTCTGGGATGTTCTGGGGAGGTACAACCTGGGGGGAATACTCAGGGACCTCAGGGGGGTTCCTCTGTAATAAATCATCCCAGTGCTCAGTCCTTCAGACGCAGCCATGTGTCGAGGCTCAGCCTTTGTGCGTGGGGTTCAGTCATAATGGCATCGTCAGAAACTTGCAGTGGTTTTTATTAAATGAGTAGTCTTGTCAAGATATCATTGTACACTTCAGTTTCATCTTAAAATGTCCATTTTAACATTTTAGAGGATGACATAAAATCTGAATGACTGAAAAAATCTCAGTTGTGAAGAGATTTGTTTTTTTTTCTCCTCCATCATCTCAGTTGCACCTGAAATCCAGGCCATGCGACGCGGTGGATGTGAACCGAGCCAGCACAGAAGGTGGTGGGCAGCCCTCTGCCTGGGAGGTTACGGTGGCAGAGCTCAGACGTGTTTGTGTAAAATCAGTGCCCTTGCCAGTGTTACTCCCAGTCTAGCTCATTCTCCGTGCCACTTACAGCAGCAGTATTATTTTCAAGCTCTTAATTTGAAGCCATATCCGATTTCATTTTCAGGACAGTGAATGTAGAGCACCGTTTGAGATTTTTTGCTGGGCATGACTCTAGTGTCCTGTTGAAGGTTTCGGTAGTTGTAGCTGTATTTTCCACCCTCTCATTAAGCAATGCATAGCGCGCTAATGCCAACAGCTTATACCCGTGTTTACTTGGAAGAGAGATTTTCGGCATGCTTAGGGTCATGTGGCTCCTACAGCTCCTGGAGGAGGGTGTGTGTGTGTTGTCCGTGCTACCTGCCTCGTGATAGTAACAGCTCCCCAGAGTCAGAACGTGGCTGTGGTTCAGAATTCGCTCCTGAATTTAAAGCTACTAAAATCTCGGTGCACAGGCAGAGTGTTTGGGGGCGGCAGGAGCTGTTCCTGTCACAGCCTGGCCCTGCTGCCGCTCTCGGCCTGACCCAACAGCACTGTTGTGGTGCCCCTGGAGAAGCAGCCCTGCAGCCCCCGAAGCCCAGGGCTGCAGCTCCCTGAGGTTTTCTGTTGGTGGAGTTCAGCCACAGCACAAATCCGCAGATCTTATCTCTGTCCTCCCCCCCCAAAGCTCTGTATCCTGGCCTCCTGCAGCGAAACCTGACCTGAGTCTGGGGACCCCGCAGCACACCAGCACAATTAGGTAATTAATAGGCTCCAGCCTTGTCCCTTTGTGGGTTTTGCATGAGTGACTACTGAGTTTTCTTCCTCGGTACTGGAAAATTGTGAAGCACTCTGTGTTTTGGTTGGGGGAGCTCTGTGCCTTCAGCGGTGATGCTGCAGTGGTGGTTAATTTTGTATCGTGCTCCTAGTGTTTGTCAGGAAAGTCAAACACATCGCTTGGCTTCGTAAAACTGTATTTAGATCAGTTCTTTAAAAAAAAATAAAAATGAACTCAGACCGTGCTGTTCCACACCTCTGCTCCTAGCCTGGATTTTTCCAGGAACTTCTGTTTGGTATGACAAATAGCTGCACGGGCAGCAGAGCTGGCGAGCCAGCTGTTGCAGGAGGTGAAACGGGAGACGGTTTCTGTGCCGTCCTTCAAGGAATGCAATATTGTCACAGCACTAAGGAAGCGGGGTTGTTCGGTCCCGTGTTTTGGCAAGCAACACCTGAACTCGCTGTAGCTGGTGGCTCAAAACAAAGACACTTTCTTAGGAAAGTTTCCTCCTTGCTTATGGTTATCCTCAGTGTAGCATTGGGAGTGAAATCCAGGACTTTTTTTCTAGTAGGGCTTGAAAACTTTTAATTGGGGGTGGGTTTTTTGATTTGTTTTTAAAAAGGCGTTATCTTTCAAACTTAGACTTGCGATATATTTTATAATTCTAAAGGGTTTGGTAGTACGAGGAGTAAAGTTTAACAGTAGTTCTGTGCCTGGGAACAACTGTGCTGCGTGTAAACACAACTCAGAAATGTTCAGCATCTATTTCTGTTCCTCCGGTCACTGACTGAGCATGAAAGGCTTCAGCCTGCGCCAGCAAAATCGTGAGGGGCATTTTCTAGGATCTCACCTAACGGCAGGTATGATGTAAGCATCCTACAGATGGAAACCTGGAATTAAACTTTTTAATTAAAAAAAAAGACATTTTTAGTGTGTGCCCCTTCCTCCATTTGCTTGAATCATTTGAAACGAAACCTGGGGGCAGAGGCGGTGGGGTGCTTGCTCCCCTTGCCCTGCACAGGGTGGTGGCAGCCCGGTGTCTCCTTTCGGTCACTGGGGCAGTACCAGTTCCTGTCGAGCTGCCGAAATTCCTCCTGTTTTTTTTGTTTTTTTTTTCTTCCAGCTACAAATGCCTTGCAAGTCCTGCCTGCTGGAGGCTGGGTCTGAGGAGGGGTCAGAGCTCAGGATGGATGGGGCACGTTGCCTTGGGGCACTCGCTTCTAGGGCAGCCCTGTAGGATTCAGGTCTGTAGGACTCAGCCCCAAGGGATGCGCTGGTGCTTGGAAAGTGCTTCAGGCTGGAGCTGCTTACCCACAGGCAGGGCTCCTTGGGGCCCAAAGCTTTAATCCTAGCAGGAAGGGCAGGGTTGTGTGTTAGGGGGGCTTCAGGGTTTTATTTCCTTCTCAGTGCCGAGTGCGCTGCGGTGCAGCTTCAAGAAGGGGTAAGAAAACACCCGCAGAGATGTTCTTGCCTGTGGAAGTTCTCTGTGCATCTCCTGCGAACTTTTCAAGTGAAATTTAGCTAGCTCCTGGTCAGGAACAAAATGTTCCTGTCAAATTTTGTCCCATTTATTGGGGGTGGGAGGCAGAAAAGCTTTTTTTTTTTTTTTTTTTTCCCCCAAAGAAATAAAGCCTGTCCTTCAGTGTAAGTTCAGCTGCTTTTTCTCTAGGCAAAGTGATGTTCTTAAACAATCCTCTGTTCATCCCTAGAAGCGAATACAGTCTCATTGCCATTCTTGACGTCCCCCAAGGTAGGATTTAAGCAGAGCACAAATAGGCACAGCTGGAAATGTCGTGCTTCTACAAGGAAGGCTCCTGGAGCTCTTCTTTTCAACTGAGAGGAAGCAGAAAGGAAAAGATTGTTTCCATAGGTGCCCAAGTCACTTAAAAATAAAAGAAAAAAAAATCATGTTTTTTTCAGCCACATACATTTTACTCTTATGCTGCTTTCCCCCGTTGACTGAGACCCTAGAGGGTTGGCTTTCAAGAATTTCAGGCTCGGGCACATTGCAGGATGTAGCTGAAGAAAGCTGCCTGATTCTGTGACCTGCAGGGAAATGAGATTGCAAATGAACAAGTGGCTGCCTGGTTTGTAAATCGCTTCAGTTTGAAGAGCTGGGATGTGCTGAAAGGGCATGAGAAAAGTATGGATGTGCCATAGGGGCTTTTTCCCCGGGAGCAGAAGCTTACGGTCACCGATCTTACCACGATTTGATCTTGCAGGTGGGAACTGTGCCCTGGTGATTTAAAAACAAAGGGGAAAAAAAAAGTGAGTGAAGAATTCCTAATATCAATCTAAATCTCCCCTCTTTCAGCTTAAAACCATTCCCCAGATGGAAAATCCCACCTGGGATCCCATCTGGGTGGCCCCGTTGGACTTTGTGGCACATATGTGGTTGGGTCTGTGAAGCATCGGGTGCTGAAGGACTGCTGGGGAGGCTGGTCGAATCCTGACACCGACCTCCTGCATGTTCCTTGCAGGATGAGCTTGCCCCCTGAAGGAAAACCCTGCTCTGTGTACTGGGTCTGGCTGGGATGTTAACTTTGCACCGAGGGGAGGTTGGGAACGGCAGCACCGGTGTGAGTGGAGGCACCTATGGGACTGTGAGGAGCTGTCCCTGTGTCCCAGCCAAGCTCAGGAACGATCTGATAAGGATCCTTATCAGATGGACCCATCCGGCCTCTCCTCACAGCACTCGGCTGCTGCAAAAGGTGAGTCCCGGAGCAAACCAACGCGCTCAGCACCTGAGGTGAGGGTGGCAGCGCTGGGACAGGCCCAGGGAGGCCGTTGGGGTCTCCTTCTCTGGAGATGTTCAAGGCCCGTCTGTGATCTGCAGGAAAACGCTGAGCAGCTTCTGGGCCTGCGGTCGGTCAAGAGGATCTGGAAAGGCGAACGGGAGGTTTTGAAGCTCTGATTTCTGCCTCGCGATGCTCTGCGAGCAGAAGGCTGAGGAACAAATCCTGTGGTGGAGGCGTTGCTCTGGGTTTTGAGTGGCGGAGCGAGACCAGGACGCTCCTAAATGCTTGGAATTCTTTATTTAGTGAAACGTGTTTCCTCAATGGAAATAACCCTAAACCCGAGGCTTTCTTGGAATATCCCAAACATCCCAGGAGCCAGCCTCCTCCGTTCCTGCTGAGCGCGGGGCAGGATCTGCCCCTGCCAGGGGGAAATGGAGGTGGTGGCTGGGCTCCCATGGGCCGCTGTGATGGGTGGCATGGGGACAGCCCTCACCCAGCAGCTGCTCCTCTCCAGGAGAGATTTGTCAGCAAATCGAGATCTGCCCCCGAGCTGTCCTCAGGGATGCCCCAAGGCTTCTGCTAAGCCAGTCTCTGCCAGCAAAGGAGGGAGTCCGGGGCTTGGTTTCTGCTCCTGGCTTCAGCTCCTTTCCTTTCCTTTTAATGCCTAGATTTAAATGACAAGCGAGGCACTGGATATGTCTTTTATTTATGTATTTATTTATTCTTTCCACTCAGCATTCAATAAGACAGAAAATCAGTGCTAATTCAAAATCCATACCCAGACACCTCATATAAAGCTACTTCTTTTCCTTTTTCTTCTGAGCTGGGAACGGAGAGAAGCTGGGTATCTGCAGGCGATGCCTGGTGCAAGACAACCTGAATTTTGGCACTGGGCACCATGGCAGCCTTGCAGTCCATATAGGTGCCTATAGACGGATGCAGCACCATCTCCAGCACGGCTTGGAGCAGATCTTGCCTCCTGGCATCAGCAGCCACAGTGTGGGCCTGCTCCTTGCAGAGTCTCTGGGATCTGCTGGGGAGCTCGGTGGTGTCAGGAGGAAGCAAAAGGGACAGTTGTGGTTTGGGTGCTGCATGAGAGCCTCCAGGGCAGAGAAGGAGGAGAGACCCCCCCCCAAATATATGCTTATGATATCCTCTGCTTTGCTGAAGGTCTTTTATCAGTGCTGTGAGGGCTGGAAATCTGGAGAAAACACCCAAAAAGGACATGAAATGAGAGGAGGAGCTGTGCTGCTCTCTCCCGAGACCTCCAGGCTGTCTTTCAGCATCAGGAGCTGACCAAGACGGGGTCCTGGTACCCACCCAGCCCCCTGTCCTGCAGCTGTGCTCCCCGAACTCTTCGAGACGCTGCCCTGAAGCCCACTCTCTCATTTTCTCCCAACCACTTATTTATGCCCCTTCAGCAGGTTTCGAGCTGTGCTGCCCAAATTCCCCCACACAATGTCCCTCGTTGCACCGTGCCTGGCTGCTCCTCGGGGTCACGGTGCCCAAGCTGACCCCTTCCCACCAGGGCTGCTCCCTCAGGGCGACTCCTCCCCGGCTGTGGGGCTGGCAGAGGGAGCCCAGCGCTCACAAAAGCAGCCCCCTGTTCCCTTCCTTCTCATTTCTTTGAAGATCCAGCTCCCAAAACTGAGCCTTGCACTCCTGGTACAGCACAGGGCAATGGCAGAGAGAGCCACCCCGCGGGGGTCAGGGTGCCTTCTGCACTGACCCCTCTCTGTCCTGCCAGCTCCTACATCCTACAGGCTGTAGGGCACGGCGAGAAGGGTCAAGGCAAGGACAGGGATCACAAGGGAAAGAAATGAAAACAAGCCCGTTCAATATAAACTGCATGTTTTCTTGCCCCTGCTTAATTTACACGCCGCGTTTTTGCCTCCTCTCCGAGCAGCAGTGTTTATCTTGCAGGGCACAGCCCTCAGCAGCAGCGAGGAGCAGCATCAGATTTTTCTGTGCTTTGTTTAAACATTATCTCGGGCGTGTGTTTTCCTTATAAAACCATCGAGCAACCAGCTCAAAAGCGATCCAGGCGTGCTCCCTGCAGGCCCTCAGCTCCCCGCGGCCATCCTCTGGTGCCCCCCGCTGCAAAACCCCTGCTCGAGGGTTTGGTGGTTTAGGAGTTTTAAGGAAAAGACAACACTGAGTCAAGCAAAACATTTCAACCCGCTGCTTCGGAAGGGTTGGGGTGGGAAAACCCACTTTCCAATAAAAAAAAAAAGAAGAGAGCTTTCAGTTCTCCTGGAACTGCTGGCACTTAGGCAAGCTGCTGGGTCGTGGCAACACGGATATTTTGGCTCTAATAATATTTAGAATATCGTGTGTTTATGCAGCGGCCGTGTTTTGCATGAAGGTCATTTCTAGTAAGCGGGGAGCTTTCCCAGGAATAGAGCCCTTTTTCTTCAGGCAAACCAGAAGAAAAGAGCAAAAGCCATGCCTTGCCTTGAGGGCAGATGAACCGGGGGAAGATTGGCTTTGCTGGGTTGGCTTTTGGGCAGAGCGAGCTGTATTCGGGGTGAAGGGGCTGCTGGATGCTGGGCAGCACACCAGGGGGTGCTTTCTGGCCACAGAAAGGCACGGTCTGGTCCACGCAGCTCTGGAGATGCTCCACGTGTGGGTCTGACCCCAAGGACCCAGCCTTTGGTGGCATCAGGAGCGTCCTGGGCCCTCCATTCCAGGAGGAATCCCTCTTGTGCCTCCGAGGTGGTAAAAGCTGTATTCAGAAGGTTTCTCCCTGCAGGTTTTTAACGTTTTAGCATTTCCCGGGTGGTTTTGCTCTCCGTTGGCCTACACACCTGCAAAGCTCTCACCTGGGGCGGTAAGGCTGGAGCAGAGCCTGTAGCACCGAGGCATCGTCCCCAGGTGGCTGTGCTGGATGAAGAGAGGATTTCTTGTGGTTTCCTCCACTACCACAGCGAGGGCTGTGCCCTACCCCGCCGGGCTGGGTGCTGGGGAGCCAGGTCCTGAGGCTGCCTGGGGACACCAAGGGCGCATGTGGCAGAGAGGACCCCTCCGTGTCCCCCGACTGCTCCCCAGGGATGATTTCGCTGGCTCTGTGGATTGAAGAAGCAGCTCGTGATTTACCCACAGCAGGAGACAAGCCGAAGGGCCGATCCTCACGTCAACACCGCCAACCCCCCAAGGAGAATGATTAAACCCACGGAGTTGTGGGCTTGCTTCCAGCCTCGCTGGCTGCCCCAGGACACTGCTGGCTGCTCCGAGGGGTGCTGGCAGGAGCCAGGACTGACTTTGGGCCCCCAGGGGACAGCACAGATCTCGGGGTCTGGCTCTGAGCATCCTCCCCCCTGCTCCCAGCAGGGGCTGGGGACCAGGGGGTGCTGCAGAGGCCGGTCCCTCTGCCCTGGGGAAGCACGGAGCAATCCTTGGGTGGATTTCTGCTGCGGCCCTGTTACACATCAGGAGGAATTTGCAACTCCCTTTCCAGCTCTGCTCTGCCAGACAGCAAACTGCTTTGCCACGTTGCCTGTAGCAACACCTCCTGCTTGAAAATAAGAGCTGTGACCCGCGGCTGGGCCCGCTGGTGGCTGTGTGAGAAGGGCCGAGCTCGTTAATTCCTGCCATTACCACCACCCCCCTTAATTACAGCTGCAGGGGCCCATTTGGGTGGGATGCAGCCTGGGGAGCAGCCTCACCCAGATGGCACCGCCGCAGGCAGAGGGCTTCAGGCGCAGCAGTCTGGGGCAAAGGCACAGCACGGCGATCGCAGCGGGGCTGGTTTCCCTCCTATTGCTCAAACAACTGCTTGTCTTGGCAGGGACCTTGTGGGAAGAGGCCTGCGGCATCAATAGGGAATCCTTTTTTCCTGGAAAAAAGAAGTATAATGTACGTCAGCGTGGCCAGGGCAGCCGGGCAGGGCGGCGAGTCGCCAGGGCTCAGGCTGGAGCACGTGCTGCTGGCCTCCCGCGATGGAGCAGCTCCGTGGGGGTTGTGCTCAGCAGCTCACAAGAGCTGCTGCACAAAGCACGAGGCAGGGATTTTGGGCAGAGGGTGCCCTCAGGGGGGCTGAGCCATGCACAAGTGGCTCAGGGGTTTCTGGGTGACCCCACTGGAGTTATTTGGGACCATGCAGGCAGCCCCACGGCTTGCAGTTACCGAGCGTATTTACAGCTCTTGGCCCTTTCAGTCCCTGTTCATAAAGCTCTGTTGGGTTGGAGCATCCATCAGTCCTTTATGGCCAGGGAAATGGGGACACAGAGACAAGTGCTTGGGATGAGAGCACCACGGCGCTTTCCATCTGGAGGCTGGAAGTGGGCACCCCTGTCCCCCAGGTGGGGTTATTTAACACGTTCTTGCTTCAAGGTAGGGAGGAAAAAAATAAAAACTGATTCAAAAGGCCCTTTGGTGGTTTCCATCCAGTGTGGGTTCCCCATCGTGTCAGCTCCCCAATGTGGATTCGAGCTCTGTCCTTCAGCACTTTCTCTGGAGGGTCCTGGATGGGAGCTGGGGTATCTGCAAACAGAAACACAGTAGGAAAAATGCACTCTTGTGGGGTTTTCTCTAAGCAGACCTCCTGGCTCCTCCTGTCCTGGTTGATGTCCACCCTCCTCCAGGCATGTTTTGATAGGAGACAAGCCCATCCCTGCTCAGCCCCTGTCCTGCAAGCTACAAACACCAAGCCACTGCTTTTCTCCTCTCTGTGGGCACGGACTGCGTGGCTTGGCTCAGCTTCACTGTCCCAGTTTAGGTTTGTTTTCCCTTGGATGTGGATGAGCCCAGTGGTTCCCCCTCTTCCATGGCAGGAGGCAAACAGGTGCTTGATGCTCCTGTGAGGGTACCTCGGTTCTCCATCATGCTGATGGATCATCACCATCACCTCTCTCCAGCATTTGAAAAAAAAAATATATATAGCCTGTGTTTTAGTGAACATTACCATTTTACACAAACTCAGGCTTTTTATCCCATTAAATTTCATCCTATGTCTATTATTCCACTTTATGATACCACAAATTCCACTAGCAGGTAACTCATTGTGCCAATGGCATTGCCAGAAATACGAAGTGTAACCCAAGACCCATCTTTGAGGATCTCCAGTAGGCAGCTCCTTGCAGCCTGGGAAAAACTTTTCTGAAACACTGATCCCTTAGTCCATTTGCTACTTATCTCACAGTTTCCTCTCACTAAAAGAGATTGTCTTCCCAATTTTAGCTAACAAATTCACGTGGGATGCCTTAAAAAAATGTACCAAAAGTCCAGAGAGGTTTGACTGAATGCCTCTCTTTTGTCTAGAAAATCAATTACTCAGGAAAGCTCACAGAGTTCTCGGGCAAGAATTTCATTTGGCAGACTTACTGTAGACAAGCAGAGCTGTAGTTGCCCAAGGCATCTTTCTTGCCTTTCTTAAATTACTTTTTTCCAGCACCAGTTCTGAAACACCACAGATTAATTTCAATCACTTGCTGTTGGACTTGCAGTTTGATGGCCCTTTCTTCCCTGGCTCTGGGATGGAGCTGGTCCAGCTCCTCCAATTTGCACGCACTCAGCTCTTTGAGATTTTCTTTCCGTTTAGATGTGGTCATTTCCATATCCTGATGTCCCTCATCCATCTTCATTTTGTCCTGGGATTCAGCATCCTCTTTCTTCCCAAAGCCTGACACAGAGCAGCCACCTCATTTGCGGGATGTAGTTTTAGTATCTTTAAGCTCCACCACATCCTGGGCAAGCAGAAGCCACATTTCTTTGTTCTTTTCTCATTTATGACTCACGAACATTTTACTAGTTGTTTTAATTTCCTTTGCAAGATCTAACACAGCTTGACTTTGGCGATTCTCATGTTACACTTCCTGACCTTTAACATAAAACTCTCTTTGCTGGTTAATCCCTTTTTCCATTCACTGCAGTCTTGTGGTTATTCCTAATTTTCTCTTTGTGGTAATTCTTCATCCAATTAAGGCTTTGGCCCTTCCCCTGAGAGTTCTCCTCTCTTGCCTGGGATATATGATCCAGATTGTTGTCAGCTCATTTGATTTCTATGACTAATTCCCTTAATTTCTCTAAATTCCCCCTCTGAAAAAGTTAGTGTCAAGCTAACTTCTTTATGATTTAAGGCACTGAGATGCCTCGAGGGCACTTGAGCCAAGATATTTTCTATGACAAATTCCTCTCTAATGTCCTTACGCCTTATCAAAGCCAAGCAAGAAAGTCTCCCCTTTTGCTGGTTTGAGGGCACTTCAGTGAGGAAACCAGCCCGTTGTGTCCAGGAGTGGCTGCACCTCGTGGCCACCAGCAACAGGACGGGAGGTGAAGGGCTTCGTTAGGGACACTAATCCCACACTTGGTGGCATCAGCTGTATGACAACAGCACAGAAATCCCTGTCCTTATCCACAGCTGAACCTAATGACCTAGAGGAAACTGCCACCCCACCCTTGTGCAGGCTTTTGATGCTCCCATTTCCTTCCCGTCACTGCTGGCACCCCCAGGACACTTCCCAGGCACAGCATTGCAGGCCGTGGCTCCTCTCACCCGGACCCGTGCTCTCGTGGGGCTGTGTTTCTGCATAGCCACGACAAGGCCCACTTAATTCTCCATCCCTGATGCTGCGTTTGTGTCCCTTTCATCATTTCCCACACAATTCCCCAGCCTGACCCACACTTTTTGCCCGATCTTCTGCAAACTCACCCTGGAAGCTTGCCATTAGAAGCACCTGGTTTGCTCGGTACAACCAATCCCCTTGAGAATTACACGATCAGCTTTCCCTTTCCTCCACCACGATTCTCAGTCAAACCTACGCTCCTTCGATCACCATTTACCTGAGGCCCCTAATTAAGGTGTCACTTTGAAGCACCTTAGGTTCTTGCTTGGTATCTGGGCCCCATCTCCAACCCCGAGGCCAAGGACGAGGCCGATCCATTTTTACTCTCTCCCTTTGCCTGCTGGCCTCCTCCTTTGCCTCTCCGTTGCTCCCAATCCGTTAAGTTTCCTAACTCCCTATATCTGCAGCAGTGGGCGTGAGGGGATTTTGAGACTCAAGGCTCTTGGAGGACTAAATTCATCCTTCTTGGCACCCAGGTACAAACACAGCTGCGATGAGGCAAAGATGAAGTGAACAGGGCAGGCCAGGCTGTCCAGCACCTCGTCTGGCTGTGGCAGGCCGGAGCAGAGCTGAGTGTTTCTAAACGTGTTTCTTCCAGGTTAGGGTTTCACTACCACTTGATCCAGACCTTAAATTTAAGGTGAAGCATGGCAAACTGCATTGAGCTTTCATCATGGAGAGCAGGGCTCCAAGAGGAACGTTTTACCAGCAGAAGTTCCTCCCGTGGCCAGCTTTGTCTGACCAAATATACTCACTCCTCCTTACCCTCTGACAACAGGCTTTCAAAAAAATGCTGTGAAAAGGAAGGGTGACAAAAAATACCTGATTTTTGGCCCTTTGAGATAGCAATTGCTGCTGTCTCATGGGATGGCGCTCCCCTACCCATGCCCCTTGTTCCCAGCCAGAGAGCTGGGGTGGAGCTGGCACGTCCCAAACATCTCCCCCGGGTAGGCCTTCAAGTGCATTTTTCACATGGGAAAAAATCTTGCCACCAGTGAAGTGTCCAAAGGGGCAGCTGACGTGTTTCGGGTCAATACTGCCAACTGCTAAAAAATGTTTGCTTTAAGGTGTATGACATTCCTGTCTGAAACCAAAATTATTCTGGTCTTCTGGAGCATTTTCAGTTCTAACCAGTCAAGTGGATGATGAGGCACGGAGGACTTCAGTGCCCAGAAGCTATGTAATAAAATAAAAAGTTTTAAAATATTGGGCAATTCCTGTGAACACAACATCCTGGCCTCTGCATGCAGAATCCAAGTTCAGTGCTCAGGCCTGGATGTTTCACCTGGGAGGGCCTGAATGGAGCTGGCAGCGCCAGCCCAAATCAAATTCTTCATCTTTGAGCCTTTCTTTTGCCACCTGTGATGGACTGAATTTCTTATTTGTATTCTTCCCCTTGCCCTTCTCCTTCTTCCTCTTCCTCTTTCCCTTGCCCTTCTTCCTTCCCTCATCCTCCCCTTCCCCATTCCCTTCCTTTTCTCCTTCCCCCTTCCTTTTCTCCTTCCTCTTCCTGTTTTTGTTTGTTTGTTTGTTTTGTTTTGTTTTGAATTTTCCTTCTCCTTTGCCTTTCTTCCCTCTTCTTCCTTCTTATTTTTATTATTTCTCTGACGTTGCTATTTATTGAGGATGGGAATGAGGGAGGCCAGTGGGGTCGGGCAAGGCTGTGGGGCCCCATGCAGGAGAAGAGCCATTGCAGAGATCATCATCTGGGTAACATGATAAGGAGCTCAGGGTGGCCGAAAATAGAGGCTCACCCAGCTGAAAAAAGCCCCATGGTGGCACGGAGGGGCATTACTTAACACCTAAGTGACAGGGCCCGTACCCCTCTGCTGGATTTTGGCTCAGGTGTGCAATCTTAATATTAAATAGGGGAAATGGAGGAGTGGTGCGGTGAAATCTGACAGCGTGGGCTTCCCCTGCCTCTTCTGGGTGGGTTTAATCAGAAAAAATATATGGGAAGCAGCAGGGTGAGAGGGATGTATGGGGGCAGGTTGGGAGGAGAGCTGCAAGGATGCAGCAGCAGCGCAGGGGAGTGGGGTGGGGATGAGGATGTTCACCTTGCTCATCCGCTTTGCCTACTCATTTCTGGAGCAGCCAATAAATATAAAATAATAATAAAATAAATAAATAAAGATAAAAATAAAATAGATAATGAAAAATAAATTTATTATCATCATCATCATCTTAAAAGTTCTCAGAATTAACCGGCCAAGGGAGCACACCTCATTTTCCTCACCCACCCTCCTCTATTCCACTGCTTTATCCCAGGGGGATTTTGCCAGTGTTGGTTGATTAAAACCCCCAATTAGCGACCCCACGGAGAGCCCGGCTGCCACCGTGCCCCCGGCCCCGGCCCGAGCCCAGCTGTCCCACAGGAAGTTTTGCATTCCCGCAGGGTCAGCAGCTGCCCTCACCACTTCTGCCGAGCCTCCAGGTAATGGATATTTCAGCCCTAGATGGGGACTCGGCTGGGCTGGAGCCTGGCCACGCCGGCCCGCTGCCACCGCAGAATAAATGGGGTCGCAGCAGGGTGAGGATGGAGGTGCTGCTGGCCGTGCTCCATGAGGAGGGGTTTCTGCTCCTGGACACCCACAGCCCTGCACCTCTGGGGGCTCGTGCTGGGACCGGTGCTCAGAACTGCAAAATATTTGTGATTTGATTCATATTTCAGCTCAATATCTCTCTCGTTTGCTTTAGCAGACAGTGGTGTCAGGTCCTCGGTCTCAGCTCCTGCTTTTTACCCGTCTTTTTAGCCAAACCAGAGGATGCTCCCTGCCTGCTTAGAAAGAGACCGAAAGCAGGCGTAGGTTTTCAGACAGACCTGCACAGACTTTTCCTCTGCCCCCCAGCAGCAGGGACTCGCTGCCCTGCTTCAAAGCAACGCTGGCGAAGGACCAAGCATCGCACCGCGGCAGGGCCACGCAGGGTTACTCTGGAAAATATGCACGCTGATATTTTATTCATCTGAAGCTGAAGTGGCTGGTATGAAAGAAAATACCCCGTGGGGCTTCATACCTCGAGTCAATGAATTCCTGGTCCTTTTATAGCTCAGGAATGCCGGGTGCTCTCTGTCGGTTTTACAAGGCCGCGAAGCCGCAGCTTAAGGTCTGGATAACTATTAATCACGGCGGGGACGATGACAGCTGCTCTTGTTCTGCTGAGCTTTCAGACGGGCACCGGACTTGTGCAGGCTGTGCCCTGCTCGTCCCGCTGGTTTGAGACAGAATCACAGAATCACAGAATTTCTAGGTTGGAAGAGACCTCAAGATCATCGAGTCCAACCTCTGACCTAACGCTAACAGTCCCCACTAAACCATATCCCTAAGCTCTACATCTAAACATCTTTTAAAGACATCGCTGCCTTTGCTTTGGTCTGGGGGTTGTCAGCTCTGTGCTTGTGGGACTGCCAGTTTTGGTACAGGTCGTGCCAGGGGTTTGAACAGGGCAGTCCCTGCAGGGCACACTTTGCTCAGCACTCTTGGAGCATGTGGGCACGGATGGGTGCTTCCCAAATGACTGAGATCCCTGTCCTAAGAGCTACAAACCTGCAAGAAGATGGGCTTCAGGGTCCAGGCGCAAGGGGTCTCTCCTCCCATCAGGCACCGCTGATCCACAGCGGTGCCGTGCATTTTCTGTGATAGCAGTGGCTGTGCTATCCCAAGGCTCGGTGAGATGTGCTCCTTGAAGTCCAGCTCCCAGAGTCATTTAATGACATAAGAAATCACAGCTTTTCCTCGAGAATGCATCTCACCAGCGGCTGTGGTTGTTCCATTACAACACAGGGAGCAGAAAGCCCTGCTTTCAGTAACAACCCAGGACAGAAAGACGTCACAGCTGTGCACCAAATCCAAGTGAATCCTAACAAGGTCGCCTAATTTTGGGCGGGGTTGACTCATGATTTTTGAATGCTTCTAAACAGCAATTTTGTCAACATCTTCAGCTCTTCTGAGCACTCTCCCTGTGTGCAATAAAGCAGCGAGGACACTGTCCAATGCTTACTTTCGGGAACATGCAGTAATCAGGGATTTTAACATTTAAACAAATCGTTTCTGGAAGTTTGCTTTTTGCACTATTTTTTTCCAGAGAGTAACACGGAAAATGTACTTAACCTGCAGACAGTGTTACAGTGATGTTCTCAGTTTTTGGCCAAAGGATTCGTGAAGGCACAACCCAAAGATGGGATAAAACCCCTCCTTGCCATATATCTTAACGCAGTGACGAGGCTTTTCCCACCTTCACACAGTTTTTGCCTCTGCTGGTTTCTTTTCTCCAATAAGAAAACAAAGAAAAGAAAAGCAAGCTTGGAACCACAAGCTAAACCCCCAATCCTAGTGTTAAATCCTGACTCAAAGCAAGCTGAAAAGCCCCAGTCGAAGCAATCAATCACCAAATTTTTATTCCTGGTGGTAAGCAGCCAGGGCACTCCCAATACTGAGGGCTGCTGTGTCCTGTTGAGGGAGTGATCAGAGGGGTCAGACCAACCTGTGCTTGCACGGGGAACACGAGGTGCTGCCACGTGGGTGAGCACGCTGCTGCTTGAGCTCCTGCAAACCCCCTGGGCCTTGCCGACACACTCCTGCTTGGGGCAGGTTGCTTTGCTTTCGTGCAGGGTTTTGGGGAGGGAGCTGGGGCAGGCAGAGCCCAGAGGGGAGCGATGCCCTCAGTGGCATTCGTGCCTGTCGTGCCGGCAGCGCGGTGGGACCCGATTCAGGAATTTTCTGACAGACAGTGTCAAGAGCATGTGAGAGCGTGCTGAGCAGATCTCACTCACTCATCTTTCAGTTCCATAAGCAAACACGGGTGCAAAATTTCCACAAGGTCTGAGCGTTCCCCTTGTCCATACAACAGCTTGAAATGGGACATGATCTTTACTCCTTACTGAGGACCTCCTAGTAATTCAAGAATACTGATAGCCACATGGTATTCAGGTATCTCAGTCACTTTGAGCCAACACTGCCAAATAAAGAAGTCTCAGACCCACAAGGATAAATATGTTCATATATATATCAATGGGAGTGCTATGCTTAATGGCATATAGGGATAAAGTAACTTGTGATGCTCACCAAAGTGTCTTGTTAGCTTTTCAGCCTGATTTCCTTCAGATAAAGATGATCTTGCTAAAATCCTGCTCTTGCAGCTTGGCAAAGCTCTCTGCTTTACAGACTCACTGATTTCATGCCCACACCCACTAACTGATGGCACCTACCGTGGGGCCTTTCATTAGCAGCTGTGAAAAACACAGGAGATACAGCCTAAGGTCAATGAAGGATGACTTCTTCATCTTAGCACGGGGTGTGAAAAGCTCAGAAAATTGTTTAAAGAATCCTCCTAGGGACTGAACATACTCACACTGGAGAAGCGAGGAAAGAAACGTGTTTATACATTTATTATATACAATATTAAGGCACAAGTTTCAACAGCAAAGAATAAGAAATCTTTGGCTGACCAACAATATCAATATTTGCTGTGGGTGACACATAACGTTCTTCGCTTACCCACCTATGTACAAATAACCCTCCAGCTGTACAACGCTGTACACCAACTTCTCTATACAACCAACAATAAAAAACGACAGTATTTTACAACTAGTCACCGACGTCACCTGGAATGGCTACAGCACGGTTTCTCAAAACACCACACAGGTCAAGGAGCTGGGAGAACCAGTACAGACAGAGCTGCACCTGCTCTGCTGAGAGGGGCTGGTTCGTGGCAGCCGTGCTCCATGCACGTCCTGCCAGTGCTCAGGCTGCGGGGGGGACCCCTGCGCCTTCAGACCTTCCCTCCAGAAAAGCTGAAATCTCCTGAGGTCAGTTAAGTTGAGGAGAAGGAACCTATATGTTTATCTGAGCTGTGAATCTGAAAAATTTGCCCGCATTGTGCTTGTAATAGATGGTTTCCCCTATGCGAACACGTATGTGGGAGCAGCACCAGTTGGAAACGCACCTTTGGACACCCAGAACTGGAGGGCCTGTTGTCTCCACGAGGAGGAGGAGGAGTGTGATGTTCTAGCTGACTTTGAGAAGCAGAGCTGCACCGCTACGAAACACATCACGCACACTGCTCCTGCCAGACCCCCAGCTGTCTGCCTGGACAGGAATCATTAAATAGCATCATCAAAAGAAATAATACAGCCAGTCATACAACGCTGAGGGACTTCCAAAGCAGCTGGGCATCCTCCTTTCTCGGAGAAAGATGGGGAAATACTCACTACTGTTTAACTCCTGTTCCTTTGCTCTGTCACCCTCCTGCCCAGCTCCCTTGCGGGAGGGTGACCGCGGTGGGTTGGGGGGTGCTGGAGCCTGCAGCCAGCCACAGCCACACACAGACCCGGCTTTTATGCAAACGTTTACAACATTTAAATTAACTTCAGAGGAAAAAAAAATAAAATTATTTTACAAGGCATATATTAAGCAGCGTAACATCTTCAAAGGGTTTTACACATTTGGTTTTGCAGAGCTGGTAATACTCGGAACACACGATTCTCTTTACACAGCCTACTTAGCGCTACTGCAGCTAAACAAGTGCAAAACTCAGCGACACCGACGGACGTCTAACTCTAGGTACACACACGAGTAAGTGCATAGCTTTAGCACAGAGATTTTGTTTTTAAATAATGGTCTCTCTCAGCCACGCAGCATTGAGCGCAGGGCTCTAGCACCTGCCGGCTTTGAGCTTGCAAGGGCTTCAGTTTTCAGCAAAAGCAGCGTTTAAAGTGCCTGGTGTGTTCACAGGAGTCTGTTCACTCCGTTTTGATGCCTACAGGAAGGGACGACCTCGAGCCGGTCCTGAGCACACGGCCACTTCCAGCCACATGAGCACCCATCGCTTCTCCACTTCAGGCAGCTTCACACCAAATCCCATCACCCTTTTCCCAAATTCTTCCTAATGTCATTGGAAGATTTAGGAAGAGAAAAAGCAACATCAAAATACCTCAAAGAGGAACATTTCCCTGTCGGCATTTGTAATATAGGAAGCAAAACGTGTCATGAGTAACACTGCCAATGAGCGGGCAGTCTTACAGACAGTTGCCATCTCTTACAGAAATCAGGGACTGAGCTGAAAAGGAGCAATTGTCCTGGGAGAAACAAGGTGAAAGAGACTGCAGCTCAGCACACAGAACGGGTGATGCTTCCCGCTGTTACAGAAGGGATTGCTTCAGCCCCTGCTGAAGGAGCTCCTGTCCTCCCCCACCTTCATCCTCCATGGAAATTCCAGCAAACAACTGCTCCTACCAAAAAAAGAAGCCTTAGCAAGCTCTGAGTTTGCAAGACCCGAATATTTGCACTGCAATCCAGCTCCAAGAGTAACATTTGTCCAGCCAGGAGCGAGGCACCTGACCTGCATGTCCAGGAAAACCACACCACACCACTTCAAACGAATACTTACAAGAACCTGCCATGTACATCTACAGACCAACGCTTCACTAAAACGCAGCAGTGAATACTTTTAAGAAATGAACCAATACTGAGGCAGATGCAAGTTTCTCCTGTTATTTTCAGAAACTCGTATGGCCCCAGAAGAGCAAAGATTTTGCTCCTGTCCTGGCTGCAGAGGCAGTAAACCAGAACGGCCCCGTGCACCCAGTCTGTAACTTAGCTCCCTTCTCTTTACACCAGAAAATGCAGTTTCCTCTTTCCTCGATGATCACCTTCTCAAGCCACCTGCAGTTTTCCATGTCCCTTTCTGCTCAGAAAGTCCCAGACATTCATTTCATCTCTCCTCCTCGGTGCTCTTTACTTCTCACCCAGTCCCAAGTCTCAACGTAGCAGACCCAAGCTTCACTTCAGGCACAAACTTTCTCCGTCCTTCTTCAAATTCTCCCAGTTCATTTGTAAGGTTGGCACACCGACAACATCCTCGGGCCTGGAGGTATGCCCATGACACCCCAGAGACGCCACCCTCTGCTCAGATGAGGACTTCCATCATGTCTGTGTCCGGAAACTCAGGCTTGTGGAGCAAGCTGCTCACCCTGCCTTTGCTGTCGGGCGGCTTCCCATGGCTGGAGTTCTCTGCAGTGGAAACAAGGGAAACAGGGTCAGTCCTCAGCTCAAATTCAACAGCAAATTGTTTGAAGCAAACAGAAAACCATTCCTGGGGGAACAATGGGGTGAAAAGCTTGGGGCACAACTATATGTCCTAAAGACTGAAAGCCAAATTTGCTCAGGAGGCCCAGAATATGTAATCCTGAATTCCCTGCACAGTGGTGGAGTATCACTGATAACAGCAGGTTTGTTGGTGTGCACAGACCCCAAGGTAGGCATAAAAATGGCATTTAAGAGAAACAGACAAAAGCACCCTTTAAAAAGTGTTTATGTATGTCCCTAGAGAGAAGCAGGCATCTGCGGAAAGTCTGCATCACTTCAGCAGCTTATTACTTATTACCTGATCCGTGCTAACTCTGCACGTCTGCATTCCTGTTCCGCTTCAGGTACAAAATTCGGGAGTTTGAAACAACATGAAGGCAGTACACAAATAATCAGGTGGGTGTTTTAATCTAAAATATATTATTTTACCAGTGAAACAGGCTAAGTACACATATATGGCCAATTATAATCTATGATACATTTTCTCAGCTATTTATTTTTATCATCACAGTTCACGGCATTGTCAGCTTCAGCAAGAAGGACTCTCATTTCTTAAAACAGAGAAAAGGCTAATTTATGGCTTCCTGTGAACAAACTCCAGTCTGAATGGTATGAAACACACTAATCCAGAGTTTCAAGTAATTAGAGGTATTTAGCTCTACCAGTGATATATGTGTAGTTCCTAGGGGGGGAGACAAGTTTTTGAGAACAGATAAATATGTAGGAAAATGGCTTGTTCAAAACAGCATTTGTAAAATAAATGTTTCCCCTTGCTGTGGTCGCAAACCAGCAGTTTCCATTTTTCAAAAATAATTAAAATCATATTTCTTCACCAAAACCAACCAAACAACAAGACATTCTCTGTTTTCTCCTTGCATTTTCCCCCCAGGCTTCCTTCAAAACCTCGGTGGTGCTCTCACGAACAATGGCTGAAGCTGAAAAACGAGACGGGGCTGACTGCATGAACAGGTACGGAGTGTTTTCAGGTATGAAACCCTGTGAGCTCGTCCATGATTGATTTTCATCTCCGGCAGCATGCGTAATTAACTACATTTGTCAGAACCTCTGCCTGCCACAGATGAGCAGAACCTTATAAAAGCTGCCAGGGATCGAACTCTGCCACGCCAGACTGGGCAGTGCTGGAAACTCCCCTCCCTTTAGTTTTTCCTCCATCAACACCGGGGTGTCTTGGGGAATGTGCACATCCCTGCAGCCCCGCGGGGGGTCCAGCAGCACTCACCCAGTTTCTCGCCCGCTGGCCGTGTCCCCGGGGGCCGCGGAGCAGGGCTGTGTGTCGGGGTGGTGCCCAGTCGGCCCCGGCCAGGGAAGGAGGCGGTGGCGGGCCAGAAGAGCTCGGCGCTTTTGTCGGTCTGGGTGCTGTTGTCTTTGCTGCCTGTCTTCGCGTGGGAGGCTGCTGGCACCGGTGTGCACGACAAGGAGGGCAGCGGAGGAGGCAGCGAGGGGCCCGGCGGGTGGTCGTGGTGCTCCTTCCCCAGGAGCAGCCCTGAAAACACACCCAGCTCAGTCACATCCCGGCCCAGATTCAAGTGCTGTCCCCACGTCCTCCCCCACAGCTACAAGGTGCTGGTCTGGACATGCCTCCAGCCCTCTCTGCTTATTTTTTCCCTTGGACACTGCATGATACTCTTTTTTCCTGACACCCACACAGTACTTTCCCAGGCCAGACGTGCTTTTTCTGCAATCACAGCCTTTGGGGAGCAGTGCATCCCTACATCCCCTTCTGCACAGCAGGCCCAGCTGTTCCCCCAGCACAGGCATCCCTCTGCACCCCCATCCCATGTGGCCCCAAACCACTGCACTTGTTTCCCCACTCAGCTGCCACATCCCATCAGGAACTCCCACCCAAAGGGATGCTCACCCCCTTGTTTGGCTTTAATCAAAACTTTTTTTCTGGTCTTCCAGAAAGTTTCAGACATCATCTGCTTGTGTCTAGGAGTCTTTCCCCAGACCACGACTTTCTATAATCAGTGCAGAACAGCTTAATATGATTAAAAATACAGTTAAGATATGAAGCAAGGTTAAAAATGGACTAGGTTTCGACTTTGGCACAAGGACAGTGCCACAGCCATGGGCACTCCTGCGAAGCTCAGGATTACCACGAAGCGATGAATGAGCCAAAGCTTACCCAAAACGACACTCACCTATGCTTCCCTTCCAGATCTTCTCCTCCTTCTTCTCCTCAGCTATCTGGTTGCTGGTGAGCGAGGTCTGGCGTGAATGTGTGCCCGTGGCAGCAGCGATGGAGGGCACAGACCGAGCAGGTCGCAGGCTGGCGCTGTCGACTTTTCCAGGATCCTTCCGTGAGCGCTGCTGAAGGACCTTGATCATGGCATCCTTCTCGATTATTTTTGCATGGAGATTCTTTATTCTGCCAAAATATGAATGCTCTGCTTACAGGGATGGACAATGAGATAATACAGGCAGTAGTTGGCACCCTAAGGGAGCAGAACCAGTCTGTAGGGATGTGCCCTGCTGCTCTGCCATCTCCAAGTCACTCAGTGAGTGACTTGGACAAGGCAGCTCCCACCAGGTCCTCCGAGGGCTAATGATGGGTTAAACGAACTCACCTATTGCTGTGGCTTTACCACAGCAGCAGCAATGAGAGCAATATCCCGACTGCTCTGTGGATTGCTACCTCCACTGACATAATACAAAAACACAAGCAACATTCCCCCATTGCTGTCAAATCTGGAATCCCGTGCTTGGCGGGCTGCCACAGGGAGGGGTTTGCCTGAGTAAGTATTATCTGAATTAAAATCCTGAGTTAACCTCATAATTCGGGCCTGTTGGCAGCTGCAGTAAAGCTCTGCTGCTGCCGAAGCGACTGAAAAAGTTCCCTTTGGTGCCTGTAACAGCTGGGCTGGGCTCCTTCTTTCCACTAAACTCTGCAGAAACCATCTGCCTGCAGGTGTGCAGAGCCGAGCAAAGCTCCCTGTGCTTTTCTAATACAGACCTAAAGACTCTCAAAACACACGAAAATGATTATCTGAGACTTTTCTCCGGGCGTTATTAACACCAAATCATACTGGAAGGGCCTGAAACTACATTAAAAACAAAACAAAAAACTTGTACGTATAAAATATGATAGTCAAAGGACTGTATCTTTACTGCGAAAGCAAACGCAGCTCCATTTTGTGAAGCAGTGAAAGGTAAAATGCCATGTCTGGAAAGCATATACATAAAGGGAGATAGACAGCAACTTAACGTTGGCTTTAGCTTTCACAATCAGATGTCTAATTTGCAATGAAAACACCAGATCCTAATCTATCTTTAATGAAGCCAATGGCAAAATTCCATTGCTTCACTGGAAGCAGGATTAGCTTGCATGTGTGAGTGGAAAACATAAAATAAACCCAGTAAAAACAATCATTTACATTTTCCACAAGCAACAAATATTCTGCTTTATAAAATCGTCTGCAGACTTGTCATTCTGCGGCAAAGCCAAAAATGAAGAACAGATTTTAAGTAATTTTTCATTAAAAAACCCAGGGAAATGCACAGCCATTCCCAAGGGATTTTTACTGATCAAAAGGCCACTTTTCACCAGAAAAAAAAACAAAAGCAAGGAATTATAAATGGTGCTGAGTATGTAGCCACATTCCTATTTGCGTGCTGAAAATGGGGAAGTGTCTGTGCCAAGGAATGTTACTCTTGCTGATTGCCTGTATCCCAAAAAGTTTACTTGATACCTTCTACTACTGGAAAACAGCTTTTTTAGCAGTGCTTTGGGTGCTAAATCCTGCAGGCTTGTTCCTAAATGCCAGTGTGAACATCCCCCTGCTCGAATGTGTGAAACAGAGCATCGAGAAACAAGCAGGCGACTTCCGAAGGAGTGAAGAGGAAGGAAAATGCAGATGCTTGTGTTGCTGATTATGTAGGAGTGGGATTACAACTTCAGCTTTTACAACCAGACCCGCTCGTTTCCAGAGGGGGATTTTTGACGAGATTAAGCAAGCATTTAGCTTCCTCCCAGGCCAACATATTTTAATATGGGAACTGCCTCCGTTTGTCAAGAAGGTCATTTTTGGCACAAAGAAGGCTTAACTGCAGTCAGGGGGGAAATATCTAAGGACAGCAACTATTTAATCACTGCCTTTATGCTGAGGAGCCTGAATCATAGCGGAGCTAAGCCCATCCTTCCCAGGGGTGCATACAGGAACCCGAGAGCATCCTGCCCTATTTCCTCAACCCCCAGCTGCAGCCAGGCGGGGTGACCCCGTCCCCAACCCCACGGCACAGCCCCTTACGTGTACTCCATGTCCTGGCACCGCCGGTTGGCCTGCACGATCTCCTCCTCCTCCTGCCAGCCCCGCACCTCCAGCGCGCTCTCGCCGTAGCTGCCAGTTGCGCGAGTGGCTCGGGGCCGAGGCGTCCCTGGCAAAGTGGTGAGACACAGGTGAGGGGGGAGGACCACAGGGTTCGGGTCCCTGCAGCCACGAGGGCGGCTTCTGCAAGGCAGCTTGGTGCTTGCAAAGAAAAAAACCCCAATCCCATGTTTGGAGAGCGAGCTAGCAAGGGTTGGTTATCAAACCGGACGGCTGCCTGGTTGTCTTGCTGCAGTGTACTCTTGGCTGAGGTCATTAATGCCATTCATAATTGGGATCAAGGGGACTCACTCACTGGGGAAATGGTCCCAAGTCTCCAAGACTGCATCGCAAATGAGAAGCAAAATGGTAGGAAGGTGAAAAATAGCACAGGAATTGCTGTCTAGACTGGAGAGCAAGAGGAACTATCATACCGGGACATGCACTCAATCACATTTAGAAAGGCAAGTCACTTCCTGGGATGTATTCAGGGGATTTGGCTCTGAAGAAACTCGGCGAGAGGTTAATTATCCCGATCCCCTCATTGCTGGAGGCCTTGCTGCAATATGCTGTGTGCTTTGGGACACTGTGCATGCAGACAGACAACCTGGAGACAACCCAGACGAAAGCACTGGGAAAGGGAAGGGGTTTACTACATGGCTGAAGGAAGGGAGCTTAGCTCAGGCCAGGGAAGACACACGGGGGATATGTGTCTTGCACTATGTACGAGGCTGTTACGAGGTCGCCAGTGATCTGTTGTTCATCATGTACACCTGAGGAGGACAAGAATAAATCGGCGTAATCTGCAGCCAAGAGGTTTAGTTTCGATATTAGGAGAACCTCTTTCATTTGAAGCTTAATGATAAACTTTTGGATATGGCCAGAAGGGTAAATCCTGCTGCATTTCACAGGCGTACTGCCAGGGACGGATACATTCACCTTGCCAGAGCCTCTCAGGGGAAGGCAAAGCAAAACCCAGCTTGGAGAAAACACCCCTCCCTTGTTTTCTGCTGCAAACAGAGAACTGCCCGTTCCCGTTAAGGACATCTCACCTCTCCGTGGCAGCCGTGGCTGCGGTGTTCATGGCGAAGTGCCTGATGGTGCTCTCCTCCAGGTACTTCTGCTCCCACTTGGTCATGTCGGCTTCCAGAGCCAGGATCCGCTCCTCCTTCTCCCGCACCAGCTCCATCAGCGCCGGGGCGTTGTGCTCCGGGAGGCTGTTTGCCTGGTAGCTTCCCTGCCTCTGCCGGGAAAAACAGCCACGGATACTCACCCTGATGAGTACAGGAGGTATCAGACCCTTTTTTCCCACAGCACACAGCCCAAGACTTACAGAGGGCTCCCCGTCCCACTGCAAATTTCGGAGACAAAGGGTTGCAACCACGGAGGTGTAAATGGCCCCATCTGGAGTTCCTGGCACCAGGGACACCCCAGCCGTCCCCTCAAAATAGGCTGGTGCTACACGAGGGGTCATGCCCCTAAGAGCTGTGGTGTCAAACTGGGCTCAGCTGTGCTAAAAGGGTCGGGGGAATCCCAGACTAAGCCCCAGGGTTGGTATCGGAGCCTGACCTGGTGTGCAAACACCAGCACCCACCTCTCAGGTGCCAGCTGCAGGGGCTTGGCTGCCCCCTGCATACACGTAGGT